AATTCAAACTGAACGATTTTTACAAACTCAATTAAATGAAATACGTGCCAAACAGAAGTCGAAAATTGTAACATGCGGTATGTTTTTAATATTATAGTTGAATCAAATATAATGTATTATCTTTCATTTGTTAGATATAATGGACGATGATGGATATGATGATGAAGCTATTGACAATGAAAACAATGACGAAGAACAATTTCAAATTCAATCGAATGAAAATGACAATAACTTAGTCCTTATTAATACAAGAATTGATTATCAATGCCGATCCGATACTCTCAACAAGATGTGTTTATACGACTTCGTCAGCACATTATATAAGAAAAAAAATGAATACATCAGATTTCAAGTATTCATCCGAATCTGCAGCATCAGCCGAAAAAAATGCTAATCAACAAGGTCGACCACACAATGAACGCTTTCCTTTTCAACAACAGCATCCACAGGCAACAACACATTTAATGATGAAATATAGTCAACTTCATGTACCTATTCTTTACGGCCCTCAAATTCCTCGACAAGATCGTAACGACACTCGAGAACGATATTGTCGAGCTCTTCTCACACTCTTCGTATCCTGGCGGTCCGTCACTAATCTCTGTGATACGAATCAAACATGGAAAGATGCCTTCAAATATCGGCAACATCTTATTTCTGTTCATTCATGGAAGATTATAGAAAATATTCAACTTTTGCACGAATGTAAAAAGGATCGTGATGATCATTTACTTCAAGTTATTTCTGAAGCTCAAGTTGACAATGATACTATCAATCCTGTACTTTTGCTAGCAAAACATGATGTTCATGGCGAATACGATATGGATGACAGCGATGACTTGCTTGAGCTATTAGGCAATTTAGATAAATATACAACTACTGCAGTTAATACCACAAGAAAAACAACAGAAAATAAATATATTGAAGAAACTATCGAAGCAGTCGAGAACGTTGGACGATTTAATCATACGAACAGTAAGTATTATTTTTATACCAGTAACAAGTTTGAAAACAATGATAAAAAATTTATTGTAGCATATTATCAATCTTCTTCAGATATATCAACTGATCGTACTAATCGACAACTTATACCATTCCTTTGTGCAACACCTCATCTTGTTCAACTCAATACAAAATGACAAAAACAGCTGAAGATCGAGAAAGAACGAGTTAGACGAAGTTTAATTATAAGGAACTATGATAAAGATGATGATACATTGGATTTATTTGCTATAAGAGATGCCGTTGTAACAGTGATGAATCCAAATAATTATAGTACAAACAATTTTGAAAACTATGGTTCAATTCTTCCAGTGCTCAAAGTCATATATAACCTTCCTACTCAGACAAGTATTATTAATGAATTTACATTTAAACAGAGAACAACGAGCTGCATTTATGATCATAACAAGTCATCTTGATGGTGACAACCGATGTTGCACAAGTATTTTTACAATACACGTCATCACAAATTGAAATATACAATCTGTTTACGTGACAATAATGGTCAGTTCATCATGTATATACCTGGGTGTGGCGGAACGGGCAAATCACAACTTATTCGTGCTCTTACCAAATATTTTCTTGTTACAAAAAGAATGCAAATGATGAGAAAGCTTGTACCGACTGGAATTGCTGCTGCTGAAATAGATAGAATGACAATTCATTCATTTTTGGGCGAACAACGCAATTTAGGAAAGCCACGAACCATTAAACTGGATGACTCAAAACTTGAGAACGAATGGAGATCAGTCTAATATCTTTTAATTGATGAGATGAGTATGGTGGGTTTAACTCTACCAGCAAAACTCAACCGAATTATTTCAATTGCAAAACATGTCGATCCTCAAGTTTCATTCGGTGGTGTAAACATTATCTTCTTTGGTGATTACTTACAATATCGACCTGTATATGATACACTATTACACATTGATTTTTCATTACCATCCAAAGAGAAATTGGGTAAACTACCCACAGAAAAAGAAATTCAACAATGTGTTGCAAGTTCTTTAATTCTTCAAACTAACTGTGTGGTAAAACTTACTCAACAGATGCGCACGGAACATTTACGGTACCTTCAGCTACTCGAATGTCTCCATCATGGACAATGTAATTATGACGACTATGAATTATTGCTGACACGAGTAGTTGGGCAACCATCAGTAGGCTCTCTCTGTGATTCACCATGGAATAAAGTAAGTTTTCTTTTCCTTTTGATACAAACGTGTATATTTGTCTCGTTTAGGCTCCGATCCTTGTGTTCCGAAATGAAGTACGGACACAATTGAACAACAAGCCAGCAATTCACAATGCAGCTCAATTAGGCCACGTCCCAATAGTATGCGTCGCTCAAGACACTTGTAATGGCAAACCAGTTGAAGATCCTATCCTTATAAAAAAATTATTGGAATTATCTGATAGCAAGACAGAGCATTTACCTGGTTTATTACCTTTTGTTCCTGGAATGCCTGTTATTTTAACACAAAGCATTGCTATTGAACTTGGTCTTATTAATGGTATTAATGGAATCTTTCGACAATTAGTCTATCAGGCAGATTCTGTATCAACAGATGTTTTATCGGAAATATTTCCAAAAAATACACAGTACATCCATCGACCATTACATGCATTAATAGAAATTGCCAAATCAAAAATTGAATCCAATCTTGAAGAACTTCAACCAAAACTTGTCCCAATACCAGTAATCGAACAGACATTTCTGATATTCTTCCAAAAGACAAGAAACCAAAATCAAATTGAAATGAAATTTTATTGATTAAACGCCGAGCATTATCACTGGTGCCTGCTTATTGCATTACAACACACAAGAGCCAAAGCCAAACTCTGAATAAAGTCGTGATCGATTCTAAACTGCCAAATGAAACTGAAGATATTGCTGCAGTTTATGTACCATTATCTCATGTAAAACGTTTGGTTGATCTAGTTATCTTATGGCAATTCAATTACAAGGTTTTAATAATTAAACCAAGTAAATTTCAACTCACCGAAATGGAAAGACTGGGTCAAATATATTTAAAAGCACAAAAACATTTTTCTCAGTGGTTTCAATGATTTTTTTTTGTATTGCATGGAAACTCTTTTTATTTGTATCTGTTATTGCTCTAAATACATACTTTTCTTACGTGTTTGTTCTATGTTATATACATTTAAATATTGGTTTTTTTCTATATTAATGCCTTGTATATATTAGCGTTGTTTTTCTTTGTTTTGATTGTAGTTCGATATGATATTTGTTAGATATAGATGTCTCTTTTTCTGTTTGTTATAGTTGCAAATGCAAATTAAATATATTTATGACATGTAATTGCTTATAGAACTTTTAAATCAATAATCTCGATTATTTAATAGTGCATAAATTTGACTGAAAATATACTCATAAACAGTTCAGTGATGATTGCTATCACATTCGCTCATTTCATATAAGATATAAAAACATTCTGATTGATCTGTATGATTGATAGATTGATCGTACATATGAGTGGTAACTAGCAATTGAAAGCAACATATCTTGTATTATTGTCAGTGCATGATATAGACTACTATTCATGTCGCAAAAAGACGTATTAGTATAACGCATATGAGTGTACCTATTATTTATTTTTCTTGATAAATTTTCATTAAAAGATTAATCTTTGCTCACAATATCAGCCATGAAACAAGTAAATACATTTTTCTAACCATTGTGCTTCACAAGAGAGAATTCCACGGCACTATTTTTGAAAACGCTTGGCTCTATAAGCAGTCGAGAAAAATGGCGATTTTAATACTGAGAATAATTAAAATTTTAAATTACCTATACTATTACAGATTAGGATTATAGTATTGTAACACGTATACTCAGTTACATCTGATGTTACCACCAGTTATCTCAGAGAAATAAAATAAAATGATATGTAAATAAATTTAACTATTCAGTCGAGGGCTAAGCAAATCGAAGCGACGAGCGTTACTTGTGAATAATTGTTTATCGTCTCTTATTTAAGCTAGGAAATTTTTTTTTTTGCCTTTTAAAACTTAATGACTAAATTATCTTGTATATGGCTATTCATCCATAAGTTCTGAGTTAAATCTGCTTTTGCTTGCAAACGAGACAAAACCGAAGTTTTGCTAATTATTCTTTTGTCAGAAACAAACAACATGTTACGCATTGTCGTCATAAAAAGTATTATTCTTTACGCCTCATGGAACAAAACCCTCTTGTTGTATCCTACTACCTTTTAAAATTTTTTATTTGGGTGTTAAAGCTTTGTTTCATGCACTTATTTTTAAAAATATCATTCATATAACACATTGCTCAATACCTTCCCTATAGCGTTTATTTTATTGTGGAACTCACATAAATTTTCGAAGAAAATGCTGAGTATAAGTTTTAAGGTCAACGTTTTCCGGCTCCGCCTCTCCCCATCCCATTACAGCCACATAACAACGGGGAAGAGAATACTACAGACATACTCCTATTACAAACATCCCCCTTTACAGACAGACCACCATTACAGACCTCAGCAACCGCATACAAAACGCTTCAGATTCTATACAATTTTCTAATACATTCATAATTACTCGTAAAAAAACTATTTTTGAGTTTATAGATAATGCATTAAGAGAACCACTCGGAAGCACATACGTGAGTTCCACATTTCAGCTCCAAAGGAGCTGTGCTGACAAGCTTACTTCACTTGTTGTCTTTGTATACTTTTCCAATTATTTTTAAAAAGAAAAATACTGTAACTGTTTTTTTATTTTAATAGTTCTTTTCTTCTTCAGGAAATTAAAGAAGACCATAGCAATCTTCATTGGGCTTGACGTTGAAAACAATAAAAGTGTCTATAAAAAAATTGGAAATACAGTATTGTATCTTTATCGGGCACAAAGCCAGATTTGACTAAAAATTTAAGGATAAATGATCCAAAAAAGATAAGTTACTGGTCAAATTTTCAGTAGAAAAATGCATGTTCTAGTTAACATATGACAAAAAAACATAAATAAAACAGAAAAAGTGGCACTACAACCGCCAACAAAGTACGGGCGCGAGCGGTGCTTATCAGTTGTGAACATTCATTTGTAAGATAGAATTCGTGCTAAAAAAGAATCGCCAACGTCTGAAACGATTCTTACAGAAACTTGAAGAACTATTGGATGCGGCTACCGGAACCCATCGAAAGCGGCGGTACCAAGGCACGTCTGCAATGAGTATTGTAGTTAAGTTCGAAGCTGGCACCCTAATAAAGAACATGATCAAACTGAGAGTACACTCTACTGCTAAGATGCCAACTGAGGACAAAAATCGAACACAACTGTTATAAAAATGAGTATTGCTCCATGAAAAACTTTGGGATGGTACAGAACCATGAGTAATAGCTGAACGAGAGGTTTGGCTTGATAGAACCACTACTAAACAAAACCAGTCTGATAGATCTTGATATCAAAGTTGAAGTTGACTTCCCACCGAGATAGGTAGCAGAATGATGAGTGGAACTGCAACTTAAACGAATATAACGACTGGAAAAGGAATCTGAATCAAAGCAAGGATACACACGACGATGTTAGCCAAGGCAGCTGTTGAAAGTGACTTCCCAGTTTCTGTGAGGATCAGAAACGATCCTAAGGGCAAGACTTCATCCAAATGTCGATTTTTGATGAGGAATATGTGTATAGACAAGAAATGCTTCGAAAAGTGGCAGTAGAAACCAATATCTTCTCTCATAGGCAGAAGGGACCATTGAACTCAGTTTTAACGTGATCAATGATATAAAGCTGCATACACTGCTTGTAAAGCCTGTATATTTTACCTATCCTATGCAAAGATAGGTAGAAAAATAAAAATAAAATCGTGATATAATGCACATTTTTCCAATCATCGATTAACTCGTTCTCTCTCTCTTTCGTCATTATTCAAGCTGTCTGATCGATAGGTGATAGAACAAGCAAAAGAATGATAACATTTTTGTGAGAAAAAATCCAGCGTGCCTCAATAATATATGATCATGCTTTATCCCACGTATACGGTTGGATGCACGCAAGCCAAAAGTATTTTCGATGTATACATAAGCAAACTGATGCTTTCATTTTCTTTATTAAACAACGTCGACACATCACATTATCAACGTATTACATTTGTCTTTACAATATACATTGCATTAATACAACAAGCAGAGGTTAGTCTTTTGATATTGCAGTATCTCTCGTAAGCTCTTTTAGTCTATCAGTGTTCAGAAGATTTTTCTATCCTTAAATGATACCAGTAATTAAGTATAGTTTATGTGAGCTTTAGATTGTGTCTAAACGTAAGAGAAGAAGAAAATGAAAGTGAATATTGGCAAATTTTGCCAATTTTATGGAAATAGTGATGAAGTTAGTGGCTTTTTTCTCGTTAACACAGACCGTTTGCGACTATTCATGAATTTAATGAAAAGGATAGCAATTGGTATGGTACTGAAATATGTTCTGATTATTCGATAGTTATAAAAAAACCTTGATGATTTGAACCGGTGCTCTATGATTCGAAGAGACACCAGAGCTATTTGTTGTGCATAGGTAACTATTAGAATGCCTTGAAAAATTGCGAAGACAAGCAGATTAGCAACACTTCGACAATACTCTTCACAACTCTAAACGATCGAAGTGATTCGCGCCTTGAAGTCTTACGTATTTGTTATAAAGATACCATTGTGATCCCACTAAGGGGTACTTCCCATGTCAAATCTTCCTATTTCGGCAGTTTTTAAAAGCATAATAAAAGCCATGTATGTTCAAAGAAAGACAACACTATCTTTTGAAACGATAGAGGAAATGGATAAAAATCGGCTGGATATTCTAACAGTTTTTCAATAGAACTGGGGTTGAAAGTGTATTTCTCCTACTTCTTTCATATGGTTATATCTATGTTCTGAGGAAATCTATACACAGATGGGGCAGGGTCTTAAACTGGGATATGTCAACAAATTGTTTATTATTATTATTATAAAAAACCAATTTTTTAACCTTGTGTATGTTTGGAGGATCTCCAACGTGTGAAATTTCCGGTTGCGATAACTCGAAGAAAGTAATAAAAATTTGACGTATAAAAATGATGTCATATCTTTTATGTTAAATAACAATAAACAAACTGTTTGCATAAGTGCACTTATGTAAAACGAACGGCTAATGGTTCATATTGCAACCATTCTGCAGATTTCTCTCATGAAAAATAAGTTTAAAAGCTTGATTTTTTTGAGAATGCTCACTAATATTTCCTTAATGAGAAATTTCAATAAAACTCTGACTTCCAGTTACAGAATGAAATTGAAACAATCAGAAATAGTTCACAATGATGCTTTGGTTTAGAAATTGTCATCGAGAATTCTCGTGCTACGGATCAAATAGTTTGTCAAGTTAAGCCGAATTTGAGATTAGGTGAAGTCTAAATAAAAATAAGGATGGCATTATGGAGAAATAGAATGAAACATAATAGTGACTAGCCATGAGTAGTGTCTCGAAGGGTTTCCGACTAACGACTAGCTGGTGCACTAAAAAATCTCTTGAAGACACACTTCAGGCTGTTTGTATTCATCAAACAAAAATCAACAGTTTAGACCTAACGGGTTTGAATAGGGACTAGCAGTTGGTAAGAACTGACAAATATGTTGAAATAAAGTGTGACAACGCTTTTTATGCAGGTGCACAATATTTTAATACTACATTTGACGGAAAACATCAGTCACAGGTTTTATATTCATGGTATCAGAAGTAGATATAAATGAAGTAAACGGGAATTCTTCTGCTGGTATGTGTTCTTGTCTGTACTCATTCAAATGTTGAAATTTATACAGATATATTCAAATTATCTGTCTAATCTGACGGTTACTTTGAGTAGGAGCTTCTTTCAAGTATGGCAGTTCGATTGAAGACTAGATCTAGTATGATTAATTTTAAGCTAGGAGTTCAATTGAATCCGTATTTTTGTAGCGCATACTCCAGTAAAAAATATTGTCGGCTGATGTTTTGGTAAGCCAACAGTTTTCTAGTAGAAATTTCAAGCAGTATGGCGCTGTTTCACAATAGTGTCGTGAATGCGTTTTGCTTCGTGACCTCTCAGAAAATTGAATATAATCTGTTTTTTGGGTGCATGTGGATATTGCTGCCATAATGTAGTTCCTTAGACTATTGTTGAGTATAAATATGGGGATATCGATTTGATTCGATATATTTGTGGCAAAAATGTTCATTCGGACCCCTATACCATTATGCACAACAAGATTGACGCTAATATCAACACACACATCCATCCATTCTTTTGACACGTTGGATAGTAGCTGTTTTGAATACTGTAAAACAATATAAAATACCAAAGGACCGAATATACAGTCGAGGGTCCAGCGAGTCACATAAACGAGCGTTACTTGTTTCTATCAAAAGTTCTTCTAAAAATATTCCTCTGCTATTTTCCCCTTACTGTTATTGTTACATATTGTAGCTGAACGATTCTAATGAAAATTTTATTATTACAATATTGGATGAATAATGATCAAATAGTATAGAAATGTAGAGCTTTGTTTTGACTATTAGTCTATACAAAAAGAAAATTTTCTCAAGCCATCTATACGAAATTGCGATAAAACCGCCACTACTTTTGGTATGCTATAACTAGAATAAGGTCTTAGATAGTCATCACATCTGCAGCTTGAATCCTACCATAATCACGATTATCTTAGTCCAATCACTAGAGTTATGTATAGTTGATTGAATGAAATGAAAAACCTTTCCGAGTCTTCGATTGATAATGATTCAATTGACAAAATACCTTATAGAAATAATTAAATACTTTCAAAAAAATTTAAATTCATTGGTAAACACGTCTAAATCATACTCAACAATAGAATGTATCATTTAATGAATAAAGTATATTTTCACTGACTAAAAAGATTTCGAAACCAAAGCTATTAACAAACAAGACATATCAATAAGGAAAACGTTACCAATGGAATGTTTACAAATGCTTAAACTAACGAGTTGCAAGGAAAAACATGTATTAACAAATAGAGTTCAGTCTATTGAGTCAACTTGACACAAAAAAAGAACTTTTGTGGAAGCATACCTCATTGAGTACTGGCTCACACTCTTCTATGTTCATGTTTCTAATACCTATCTATGTTTTGCTTTTGGATAAGATCGAAATTTTTTGAAGCGTTGTCTTTGTTTGACATAGCCGGATTATTTTGGTATTCATTAAGAGGCTATCCATACTCAAGAAATGAGCACTTTTTCGAAAGAAAACGAATATGTAACTATTTGATGTTCTAAATTATGATTACTAATGTAATTAATCCTGTTATTTTAGATATTTTCTAATTTTTCAAGACTTTGCAACTTTTCAGCATAGGAAAGGTATTATCGATAACTCGAAAGGTAATTTATAGAAAAGTATTCTAGTGAACAACGAATACTTACTGAAAGCTATCTTTTACTAAATACTGTTTTTTTTACTATAGATGAATAAAAATTCTACGAGTGATGATGCTATCTCAGTTGAGAATTCACCTGCTGCACAACATCCTCATGTTGACAATGAGCAACGTGAAAACTCAACGCAAAATGAATTTAATTCAGCAGAATGTGCCACTGCTACTAATACAACAAAGAAGTGGTCAATGACTCCGACACCTTTGTATATAATTTTCTTTTGTGTTCAATCATAATAATGTATAGAATGTCTTTATTAGAGAATTTTCGCATTGGTCGCGACATCGATCTTCAATTGGTGCAGGTACATTTGCTGTATTCACAATTATAGCAATGAGTATTGGTATATTGACTGTTTGTTTCACTTCACCAAAAGCTACTGGTATGTTCTTTTTTATTAATATGTCAGCCACTTTCTATAGATAAAATAAGATTACATGGAGAATCTATAATCAAAATCTCAAAATAACACGTACGAGCGTTTCTGATGGAATACGTCGATCGAAGTCATAGTTTTGTAATTGTAAGAAATAAAAAGTTGAACTAAATAATTGCGCATGTATCACACAAAAATTATCGATCACTATTCGTTGTTCTTATCATCGAACTATTAACGTCTGCATTTACAACGAAGGCCGTCATTTGGTGCGTCATCTATCTCTTCCTTTTCGCTCGTATATTGTGCTGTTCGTGTATGATTACTCAGCAAGTAGATTCACATCCATTTCTCTATCCTCATAGTTTTATCTATTTTTATATTCTATTTCTTAATATAATCATTAATTCAAAATACTAATAGAACCTCTGAAAGTATTACCTAACACAATAATTTTGGTAACCGTTTGAGCATGTAAAAATATGAAGCTTTCATCTATTGTATCAAACATTTAGCAAAGTAAATGCTAGAAAAAGAGATTATAAAATGTGGAAGCGATTACATTTAATCATGCAGTTTGGCGCATTCTTACACTCTTCAGTCATATTGTATTCGTTGATGTTCATCTTCGTTCTCAAAGATGACGCACTTTTTGAACAAATTCTAGAGTAAATCGAAGAAAGGAAATAGAAAATTAACTTGCATGATATAGTCGCATATATCTAGTTCTATCTGAATTTCAAGAAACTAAGTAGAATCCTAATGAAAGATGATTGATTTTGAGTTGCGTACAAATACAGTAATACGACAATTTCTGACAGCATACTATAAAACTTGTAAGGATCCAATACGATCAAACAGTAATAGTCGCACTTGAGCAACCAATCAGTCATCACACTGCTTTTCATCTGTTGTTTAGTTCAAAAATGTGAGCTCAAATTCAAACCAACGACTCAAAAACCAGTTGAATACAAGTATGGCCCACGATCTGTTGCCGCTGGTGATTTCGACAATGACACATGTTTGGATATGGTTATTGCTCATCATATAGCAAACACGATAACTGTTTATCTTGGATATGGTAATGGCACTTTTAAAAGTCCAATTCCATATTCAACTGGTTCCTACTCAAGTCCTTACATGGTCACAGTTGGTTATTTCAACAATGATTCTTACTTGGATATTGCAGTAGCAAATTTTGGCACTAACAATATCGTTATCTTTCATGGATTTGGCGATGGGTCTTTCGTAAATCAAACAGAACTTTCAACAGGCTCCTTTCGCCCAATAGCGATTATCGGTGCTCATTTCAACAATGACACACTACTTGATATTGCCATAGCCAATTACGGAAACCACAGTATTAGTATACTCTACCAATATGGAAATGGAAGTTTTTCGCTTCCAATTACATATCCGACAGGTTACGATTCCTTTCCATCCTCAATAGCTGCTGGAGATTTCAATAATGACAAATATTTAGACCTCGCCATTGCCAATTATGGCACTAACAATATTGTGATACTTTTTGGAAATAGCAACAGCACTTTTACAAAGCAAATTACCATCTCAATTGGCATTGATTCTCAACCATACTCCATTGCCGCTGGTGATTTCAATGCAGACAACTTTCTCGATATCGCTATCGCTAATTCTAGAAGTCATGAAGTAGGTGTGCTCCTAAATAATGGTAATGAAACTTTCGCTAAACAAGTCAACTATTCCATCAATTCTGCTTCTCCAATTGCCATTTCGGTAGGAGACTTCAATCAAGATAATCGATTGGACATAATCACCACGAATCAAGGCGCTGGCAATATAGCCATACTTCTTGGATATGGGAACGGCAAATTTGCAAATTCAATTATGTATTCAACCGGATCTTCTTCTTCGATTTCAGTTGCCGTAGGTCATTTCAACAAGGACCACCGATTAGATATTGTCGTTGTAAACAATGATACTGGTGCCATTGATATTCTTGTTGGATGTTACGAAGGCTTTCAAAATCAAATAAGATATTCAGCTGGCTCTTCTCCACGATCTGTATCTATTGGTGATGTTAACAACGACACTCGACTAGATATCATTGTCGCCAATAGGGGTAGCAATGATGTGAGTATCCTTCTTGGATATGGAAACGGTTCTTTTGAAAACCAAACAAGATATTCAGTTGGCTCTTATCCAACATCTGTAGCTATTGGTGATGTTAACAATGACACTCGACTAGATATCGTTGTCACCAATTGGGATAGCAATGATGTGAGTGTCCTTCTTGGATATGGAAATGGTTCTTTTGAAAATCAAACAAGGTATTCAGTTGGCTCTTATCCACAATCTGTAGCTATTGGTGATGTCAACAATGACACTCGACTAGATATCGTTGTCGTCAATTCGCAGAACAATGATGTGAGTATCCTTGTTGGATATGGAAATGGTTCTTTTGAAAATCAAACAAGGTATTCAGTTGGCTCTTCTCCACAATCTGTATCTATTGGTGATGTCAACAATGACACTCGACTAGATATCGTTGTCGCCAATTGGTATAGCAATGATGTGAGTGTCATTCTTGGATATGGGAATGGTTCTTTTGAAACTCAAACAAGATATTCAGTTGGCTCTTCTCCAGTATCTGCATCTATTGGTGATGTCAACAATGATAATCGACTAGATATCGTTGTCGCCAATTCGAATAGCAATGATGTGAGTGTCCTTCTTGGATATGGAAACGGTTCTTTCGAAAATCAAAAAAGTTATTTAGTTGGCTCTAATCCATCATCTGTATCTATTGGTGATGTCAACAACGACACTCGACTAGATATCGTCGTCGCTAATTGGGATAGCGATGATGTGAGTGTCCTTCTTGGATATAGGAATGGTTCTTTTGAAACTCAAACAAGGTACTCAGTTGGCTCTTCTTCATCATCTGTATCTATTGGTGATATCAACAACGACACTCGACTAGATATCGTTGTCGCCAATCTGAAAAGCAATGATGTGAGTGTCCTGCTGCAATATAACAGAGGAGCAATTACATATGAAATGAGCTTGGCACCTAGCGATGGTTCTAGCCTACGATGTGTAGTCATTGGTGATTTGAACAATGACAATAATCTGGATATCGTCTTAGCTAATTACGGCACTAATAATTTAGGTGTTCTTTTTGGATACGGGAATGGTAGTTTTGAAAATCAAATGATGCTCAGCACTGGCATGAATTCTCATCCGATTTCTATCGCAGTTGGAGACTTCAATGGTGACCGTGAAGTGGATATTGCTGTGGCCAATCATGGTACAAAGCATGTAGATATGATGCTTGGAAATGGACAGGGAAAATTTGCAATTCAAATAAGGTATGAAATTGGCTTTGATACACCTCCGTTAGTTATGGCTTCTGGCGATTTTAATAATGATGCACGATCGGAGATTGCTGTCGCTTACGATGGACGTGATCATGTGGATATTTTTGTTGCGTATAATCATGGTTCTTTTGAAAATCAAACAAGGTATTCAGTTGGTTCTTATCCATCATCTGTAGCTATTGGTGATGTCAACAATGACACTCGACTAGATATCGTTGTCGCCAATTTTTGGAACAATGATGTGAGTGTCCTTCTTGGATATGGAAACGGTTCTTTTGAAAATCAAACAAAGTATTCAGCTGGCTCTTATCCACAATGTGTAGCTATTGGTGATGTCAACAACGACACTCGATTAGATATCGTTGTCGTCAATGCGGATAGCAATGATGTGAGTGTCCTTCTTGGATATGGAAACGGTTCTTTTGAAAATCAAGCAAGGTATTCAGCTGGCTCTTATCCATCATCTGTAGCTATTGGTGATGTTAACAATGACACTCGATTAGATATCGTTGTCGCCAATTGGTATAGCAATGATGTGAGTGTCCTTCTTGGATATGGAAACGGTTCTTTTGAAAATCAAACAAGGTATTCAGCTGGCTCTTATCCATCATCTGTAGCTATTGGTGATGTCAACAATGACACTCGACTAGATATCGTTGTCGCCAATTGGTTGAGCAATGATGT